TCTCTCTCTCTCTCTCTCTCTCTCACTTTTTTTTTCACTGCTTTTAACATCCCCAGGCCGAGTCGGATCGTCATGACTTTTTGCAGCATATATACGGCATGCTCTTTGGCGGACGCCTCATCTTTGCGCCCATATCAGACCAGCCAGAGAGAATACTCGACATTGGCACCGGCACAGGTAAGCCGTCCGTCCTCCTTTTCTCCCTCTCTACCTTCAGTCACACTGACCATCTATCAGGCATTTGGGCCCTGGACGTCGCAGAGTTCGTTGCTCCCTTCGCTTTCCTTGACGTTGGGGGGTGTTTTTTTTCTCTCGTGCTTACGCTGCAGTCAGTGCATATCCAGCCACACACGTTATCGGCACAGACATCTCGCCCATCCAGCCGACTTGGTCAGTTCGTTGGTTTTTCTTTACCCCATCCTTCCGCTCGTTTTCGTCTTCGTCTTCGCTTTTTTTTCTTTTCTCGTTCGTGCGAACCCTCGTAAAGAGTCTGTCTGACTAACGTTTCGTGCCAGGGTCTCGCCAAACATCTCCTTCGAGATCGATGACGCCGAAAGCGACTGGACATTTAGACAGCGCTTCGATCTCATCCACTTCCAGAACCTCAACGGTGCCATCCGTGACTGGCGTCGTCTGCTCTCGCAAATATACGAGTATGTCAAACAACTTTGCAACCGTTGAACCTAGTTAGCCCTCTGCTTGCTTTTTTCAGTCACGATTTCTCGCTCTTTGTTTCTTTTTTTTTTTTTTTTTTGGCTTTTGTCGCATTTGGCTTCCCGCTCCCGTTGCCGCTCCCGCTCAAGCTACCAATCTTTTCGCTTGGTTTGAGTTTGTTTGGCTGATCATGGCTGGAAAATAGCAATTTGATGCCAGGCGGGTATGTCGAGGCCAAAGAAACTGATGTGTACGCAACTTGCGACGACAACTCCATTCCCGAAGACTGCCATCTTCGCCAGTGGGAGTCCAACTGTATCAAGGCATGCAGTCTCATCGGCCAGACCCTGACAGCCCCAGAGAACGTCAAGAAATGGATGATTGAAGCTGGCTTTGTAGACGTCAAGGAGGAACAGTTTAAACTGCCCATCAACCCCTGGCCAAAGGACCCAGAGCTTAAACTGGCCGGCCGGTACCAGCAAGTTCAGTATTCCGATGCCCTCCAGCCATATGCTCTTGGACTGCTCGTCGAGGTTCTCGGCTGGTCCAGAGAGGAGATGGAACTCTTCCTGGTCGGCTTGAGAAAGGATCTCGCCAACCGTGCATTCCACGGGTATAACATAGTGTATGTCCTAACACTCGGTTTCTTCCCCTCACTCCCCTCCTTTTTTACACTGTTTAGACCACCACTAACATCGTAGCAGCCGTGTCATCACCGGCCGAAAACCAGGAATGGGAAAGAGAAAGTTCTCAGATACGGAGTAGTCTGCTTTCTCTTGTGATCCCCTTGTTTGTTATGAATAGCATCTTTGCAGCCGTTTCTCCCTCCCTCCTCTTTCGGGGGCCATTTATATACCCTTCTGTTCCTGGATTTCCGCCTGTCTGCCACAATATTCCTCGTTTCGACCCGGGCATAGAATCATCTTGATTTTCATCTTCAAGCAAAGTACCCCCTGATCTTTATTTTTTGGGAATATCTCTCTCTCTCGCCAATCTCCTCCTCCTCCTCTTTTCTTATCCTTTCTTTACTGTTATTTCAGCGATGGCATTGTTGGGTTTGGGTGTCAAAGTTATCCGTCAAAAATCTAGTTGACAGTCGAGAAAACGGGAATCTCCTTTCTCCTGCTGAGCGCGGTGGAACCGGAATGGTATCAACAACAGCCCATGATTATGATAGTGACGATGGAAGATTGATGGTAATACCATGGTATTTCTCTTATCTCTTTCACTCCTCAACGCTGTTTATGTATGATCAAATAGCAAAGTCTTTCCCAGTCCCTTTTTCCATGGAATGTCCCCGACATATCTATCAGTAGAACAGACCGTCAACAACAGCAAGCAAGACAGTAAAAATAATAGGAATAATCGAGAGAAAGAAAACACCCTCATCGATCCCCCAGGATCAAGGACAGCGTGAACCTTTTTATACGCCAGTGGCGTTCTCATCTTTCTGCCCGTCCCAGCTCTGCATGCTGCATATCTGCCCTTCTTCCTCACGCCCTCAGCCTCCATCCCTCCGCCACGGATCAGACACATCGAATCCGATTCCCTGGCAGCGGACACCTTCCCTCGTCTCGATCACGCCGGCAGGTCTCGAGGGCCTCAGATCTCTTCACCCTCGGCCTATCGTAGCGCTCTATCAAAGAGTATGTCTGGGATCGGCTTCGTCTAAGGTTTGCACTCTGCGTGGTGGCTTCGACTTTTTTTTTTCGTTCGTTTCTTTTTCTCTTATCTTCCCTTCTTTTTTTTTTTTTTTTGCTTATTCCTAGCCAACTCCATGAAGGCACAGAGTACAGAGTAGCGATCGATGGAGGTAACTATAGAGTAAGCATTTGTGGATGCTGTAACTCAAGGAACGGCGTCTCCTCAACTTCTCTCGAGCATAACTAAAGGAAACTCTTGGTAACTATTGTTTAAATTTGTTAACTGGGCCTGAAGAAAAGAAAATAGAATATTATAGTCCTCGAGTACCCCTTATAAAAAGTGCTCGCACAATTTAGTTACAGCTGCATTCTTAGCAAACGCCTCAGTCTTCCACCACTTCGACTACTCAGGTCAGGGAATGACCCTTCTTCAACTACAACCCCGCCATCCACAACAACTACATTATCAGCCAACTCCATCATATCCTTTGCGTGTGTAATTATTATCACTGTCAAACTCCGTCCAGAGGCCATCAGCCTCGTTACCGTTTGTTTTATCACTGTTGCACTCTCAACATCAAGACTAGACGTTGCTTCGTCGAGTATTAGGAGCTGTGGTCTACGAACAAGTGCCCTGGCAATCACTATTCTCTGCGCCTGGCCGCCAGAGACACCAACTCCACCATCTCCAACAAGAGTATCGTATCCTGATGGCAAGGAGGAGATGAAATCGTGGATTCCAGCTGCTGTGGCAGCAGCTTGGATATTGGTAGAGGTATTGAGTGAAGAGTTTTCAGGTAGACCATAGACAATATTTTCTTTGATAGATGCTGGGAATAGTGTTGGGTCCTGGGGGACGACTGATATCAACGACCGGAGAGTCGGAACATGAATGTTGCGAATGTTCACACCACCGAGTGTAATCGTACCAATGTTACCTGCCGACGGTGGAGATGGATAAAGAGCAAGTAATAAAGATGCAATGGTTGATTTCCCAGAGCCAGAAGGCCCAACAATTGCAGTACACGAGCCCTTGGGAATTTTAAGGTTGAAGTTATTCAGGACCTTCTTTCCAGGTCGGTTTGGATAACTGAAATCCACGTCTTTAAAATTGAGAGGCGTTAAGTCGTGGATGCGGAGGTTTCCTTGGCCTTCATGCGATTGATCTTCTGGCATGTTTACTAGATGCAATACCCTGGTCGCGGAGTCTCTAGATGAGCTGATTTGCGGAACTATGCAACAATTAATAAGCGGCTAGATATCACAGGGACTTAATATTGCTTACCCAGGGATAGCACTCCTCTCACGTTTGCCATGCTAAAAAGTAGCATTGAGAAGACCATCAAAACATCCTTGGCTGAATACTGAGAACTGGATACGAGGATAGCCCCATAATAAAATATAAGAGCTACATAGACAATGTCAGTACCATATCAAAAACCGGGGTGGAGTGTGGAATGTGGACTTACCATAAACAAAAAGAATTGAACACTCTGAGAATCCAAAAAGCAAACCAGAATAGCACCCTCGTTTGATACCAACTGTCAAGGCCTTCCCATTGGATTTGTTGTGTTTAGTATGGAAGTATGACTCCAAGGTCAGTGATCGAACTGTGCGAATATCGAGAAACGTCTCCGTGAACACGCCTGCCATTATCTCGCTCGCTTCATTCGACTTGTTCTCCCAAAAGCCGCTGATCTTTTCGTATAACCTCGTCAAGCCATATAAAGGGGGTGCCGTAGCAGCACCAACTAGTGCTAATTTCCAGCACACTGCAACTCCCCAGATAAATCCGATCAGTGTCATAACGACAGCAACAAACATGAAGCAGGCAAACCGTCCGATGAGGTTTCTCATTTCTTCCGGGTTCCGATCTAAACAGTGAGTCAAGTTGGATAGGCTGTTCTCGTCCCTCTCAAACCAAGACTTGCACTGTTGTAAGATTCGGCGAATGGCTTTGTAACGGAATTGGTCGACCCAGGCTTGGCCACATCGTTCCAGAAGATAGTGCATGAAGAATGATGCTATCCCATTAACAACAGCTACACCCAATACCGTAAGAGCCCATTGCATTGCCAGTCGAGATCTGTTTTCGACAACAAAGAAAGTGGTTAGTAGCTGTGAGAATACGTAAGAAAAACATGGCGTTGCAGCTGCATAGAAAAAGGCAGCGACAAAACCGAAAAGTAATGACATTCGGTTTGAAGGTGACAACGATGGTATCACGGTCAAGAGAATCTGTGACATTGAGTAGCTTTTTTGCAATGGCTCGTTATTTGGTTTCAAGGGCGAAGGCGTTTGGTTGTCACGGGTCGCTGGCTGGGGTTGTTCTAAGTCTTTTTCGACTCTTTTGTCATCCAGTGCATCTAACGGGGACTTTCTGAACCTGGGGCTCGTATGGTCAATAAGACGCTCAACCATACTACTTCTCCTTGACTGACTGCTCTGTTCTGCCTCAGAAAATGTCCGCTCGAGAGAAAAGCTGTTATGAAAGAACGGAGAAATAGGAGTGGTTAATGAACGTCGTTCAGTCATTGACCGCTCTATACTGCTGAAGCTTGATCTTCTCCTATTATCTGACATGGGACCTGGAGATTTCACGCTCCAATTAGAGGTAGTTGGCGTGGTGTCTGTTGGCAGAGTCGCAAGATTATTAAGATCGAACACACCAGCTGCCTTCTTCTCAAGGATATGTCTGTATCCCTGATGAGCTATTTTCCCTTTGTCGATGACATAAACAAAATCCTGAGGCCGAATTTGTGAAAGGTCGTGTGTAATAATGATGGTGGTCTTTCCTTGTCGCCACGCGCGGATTGCGTTCATTAGGGAGATCCTACTTGAATAGTCTAGGGCACTGGTAGACTCATCGAGTATCAATATAGGGGTATCCCGCAACCTGGCTCTGGCTAATGCCATCCTCTGTCGCTGCCCTCCACTCAGGGACCTACCACCCAAGCCAACAACAGTGTCGAGTCCTAATGGAAAGCTAAGGATGGTATCCTGCAGACCTGCAAGTTTTGTGGCCGCATATATATCCTGAGCAGTGGTTTCTTCAGTATTCCGTGAGCCAAAAGTGATATTTTTCAGAATTGTCTCATTGAAAAGAATGCTTTCCTGCTGAACAAGAGTAATGTTATTGCGAATCCAGCTGATATCTAGAGTCTGGATCAACCTGTCATCAATATGGATTTCACCAAATGTTGGTGCATAAAATCTCATAAGCAAATTTCCGATGGTGCTTTTCCCTGAACCACTTTTGCCAACAACGAAAGTTGTATCACCCGCTGGGAAGAAGAAAGAGCAATTGTCTAGGACTCTTCTCCCAGGTTGAGATGGGTATGCAAATGTGACCTGAAGAACGAGACCACTGTTAGTAGCTGAATGACACAAATAACAAAACGGGATAAGGCAAGATTTACCTCTGAAAATCGAATATCGCCTTCACAAAACACAGGGGAAAGAGTTGAGCCTCCAAGCTCCCGCAATGTGCATGTGTGGCAAGTATCATTGAATATATGCTTGATAGCAGCCGAGGCCGTCCGTCCCTTTTCGAGGATAATAAGTCGAGGAATAATCTCCTCTATTGACTGTGTTGCTTGCAAACAGGCCCAGAAAGTTGTCAACACTTGACCAGCATTCAGACTACCCTTTGCCACAAGATAACTGCCGTACCAGAATCCCTGCACGAACATTCCGAATGTTAGGAAAGAAATTAGGCCAATCTGAGAAGCACTGTAGAGAGCCTCTTTGTAGTACCAATGAGCAGCGATGCCAATTGCAGTTTTGTATTTTTCAGCTTCTGTATCTTGACTGTTGAAGTGTTTTACCACATCAACGGAAGAAATGGCTGTCGTTGCAATTTTCGACGCCTTGGTGAGTGCTACCTGTTGCCCTTCAATCTTTGGTTGGACCTTTGAGGAGAAGAAGGCAATGATGATGGCACAAAGTGGTACACTAGCAAGACATACAAGTGTCAGACTCCACGACATGTACAGAGCCAGGACCAGAGCGGCAATAGCAGCAGTAAGGTTGTATAGGGTGGCTCCTAGAGGCTGTGACGTGGCTAGCTGGAGATCTCGGATGTAGCTATGTGCCGTTAATAGTGCCCTTCTAAAACTCTGAATGAGTTGCGGTATAAACATACGCTTGAATCCGGGGTAAAATGGCAGGGAGCCCGTCGGTGACTCCATCAAACCATCTCATCTCCTTGTGTAGTAACTCTTCAAATGCCCATCTTCTCGCATTTTTAGCCTGTAGCTCGCCAAAGATAACCCACAAGGAGAAATATGCCCAGTCCAAAAACCAGACACCGGACCCGAGGGCCAGAATGTATGTACATTCGAGGGAGGTAGTCGATAGCAGCTGGCCAGCAGAGATCGAGTGAGAACCGAAACTTGAAAAGACATTAAACAGCTTGCCCAGTATCCAGGCAAGTAAAGGGACAGCAAGCCCACGGGCTATGCTAAAGGCCAGAGCAAGAGCCAAAGGAGCAATATGCCTCTTAGACGTGAAGCGGAAGAGAGACGTCCATCCTGCCCGCAGCCGCTGCTCCTCGACAGGCCCCGAAACCGCCGGTGGCTGCTCGCCTGGACGCGAGGTCTGAGGCATCGAGATATCAACTTGCTACGACAGCAATGGTAGTTTTATATTCGAGCTGTAGCCCGCCGTATCCCATCTGTATATTCTGTCTCAGCCAGCAATGTCCAGGAGGAAGAACAAGTCAGTCCATCGTCCTGGGAGGAGGCCATGGAAGAGCAGCCGTGGCGAGGCGGGCCATCACCTCGTAAATGAGCAGCAGCCATGGCCTCGATATGGATCTAGACACTGGTTCTTTTGTGGTATAATGCCCGGTACAGAGTACTTCGTGACTTTTTCTGGTCCCTTGAGATGCTTTGAATGCGCGCTTCTTTGTGTCCCTTACTAGTCGGATCTTGCTTGCTATTGTTCCTGTGGAGATGCCAGCGCTATTTATCAGAGATGAATAGAGACGAGGCTGTGTTTCTTCATAAAGGCGGAGGAGGACGGAGGCGCGGACAACAACCGCCGTCTGGTCGAGGCTGGGACGGCGTTGTTGGTCGATTGACGTTGTTTGGTGACGGCTTGACGGTGGGTGTTTTTTCCTTCGTCGAGACAACACTCGCAACACAGCAAGCAGCAGCAGCAACAACAACAACAACAACAACAGAACCACCGGCACTCGCAATAGTTACGACACCAAAAAACCAACAATGAGCGATATATATTCGATTTAGGCTGGCATTGGGGGGGGGGGGCTATCTACGCTGTCTCATCTTTCTGCTTTTCATCTCTTGAGAAGACCGTGGAGTCCTTAGCTTACAGGGTAAGCCTTCCAACCGGTGGCTGCCAGGGCTTCGCGGACGAAGATAAATACAGGCTTACGGTGGTTTCTATGGCGGAGTGTGAGAGGGCGAGGGTCAAGGAGATCGGCCGTGAAGATACAGCATTCACGCCTCGAAGCGGATAAAGCCAGCGATGCTCACGTCCCCCCATATCCCACAGTCAAACCGCGAACAGGCCTCTCGATGGACGCGCACGCTGTATACCTCGCAATCACCATCGGAAATATCTGCACAACAGAGAGGAATGAAAGGTATAAGAGGCTAGTTGACGCCATGAACGAGACTACGCTGATGGTTGATCCGCCCATGTCGTGGAGCTGAGTGGCAGACAACAACCTGATATCGACCACATTGAGAGTTCGGAATCGTTCGTTGAATTAAACTGCTCTGCAATGTCACGACAACTCATCTTGCATCCAGCGAACTAGCTGTTTGGTCTTACTCACTGGCTCCTTGATCAAAGCAAGATGCAAGTATCCCTAGAGATATCCAGCCACCGTCCTACCATCAAATGAACCATGGCAACAACCCAGTGCTGCTACTCTTACTAGGCTCCCTGCATCTAGTAGTTGAATGCTCTGCTTCAAGCCAATTATACCCTTTTCAACCATTACCGGTTGTCTGACTACCATTTGCGGGAGATGATCGCACCCTGCAGCTGCAGAGCGCCTCAGGCTCATCACCCACAAAACAGGAACACAACCTATCCTCAGGCACGCTCCATTGACCAAACAGGTTGAACAGCGCCTTAAATAATGATTTCGATCTTCAGCACATATGTATGCAAGTGCTATTGGACAAACGTCGGGGATCGGCTGTTTCTTTGCTAGCAGCGCTTCAAGACTCCTTTGTCTTATTGCATCTTGTGCACGTAGATCTAACGCCCTCAACAGTTGATAAACGCCAGCTTTGTCTGTTCTTATCGACATACTAATATTTATTTTTTTGGCCAGATGTCTCGCTTTTAATTTTTAACTTGCAATTCACCTCTAATTCTCTTCCTTGGAGTTGTCCATCGGTTATAATTCTCATAGATCTGGTGCTAGTTTTTACCAAAATACTATGTGGGAACCCCAAAAGAAGTCTCCGAAAAGGCCAGTAGAGCTGGCAGATACCAGTATCGCAATGAAGCCATCAACAATAGGCGACAGAGTGAGGTTCTTCGGGCTTGTTGCTGTTCTATTTTTCTCTATTTTCTTGACATTTCTCGAGGCTGCTATTCTTGCGGCACTCGCTCCCCAAATTTCAAGCAACTTCAACGATACTGAGCATGCTGGGTGGTATAACTATGCCTACATTTTGACATTTGCCAGCCTTCAACCCAGTTGGGGTAAAATTTACCGCTGCTTCTCTTTGAAACCTGCATTCTTGATCTCCTTTCTTATTCTCGGACTGGGTTCGATTATCTGCGGAACTGCAGCTACACCAAAGACATTCATTGCTGGCCGTGCAATTTCCGGGGTAGCTGGAGGAGGGCTCATAACCGGTGCTTATACCGTTGTTGGGCACACTATAAAAAATGGACGCCGGCGTCCTCTATATATCGGTATCCTTGGTGCAGCATATGGTACATCTAATATTGCTGGTGCATATATTGGGACGCTCTTCCTTGGCTCCGTCTCCTATAGATGGATATTTTATACCAACACCGCTATCGGAAGCCTCTGTTTTATTGCTTTATTATTTTGTTTCGCCATAGTGCCAACGGTGATCCCACTACCAGTATCACGGAAGGAAATGTTTCTCCTTCTTGACCTTCCAGGGCTTGTGACTATATGGCCTGCGATGGTCTGCTATGTCATTTCGATGCAATCAAGGAAAACCACAGATTTGTGGAGCGACACAATAACTACCGTCACCCGTTTCGCATTCGGAGTTCTCTTGGTCATTTTTTTCCTTTCCCAGTGGTGGAGTGGGAAGTATGCGAACATCAAGCTTCGCCTTTTTGCTACCCGGGATACAGCTGTATGTACTGCTTTTACATTCTTTCTCGCAGGGGCTCTGGCCACTCATCTATATATCTTGCCGACATACGCACAGGCCCTTGATGGAGCGTCGGTACCTGAGTCACGGATCCGTATGATGCCGTTAATGATTGCCATATCGTCTTCTTCAATACTTTCTGGCTACCTAATCGGCAAATTTGGCTACTATACCCCAATGCTGGTCATTGGAGGAATTTTCACAATCATAGGTACCGGTATCCTCTACACCCTAGACGCAGCAACGACACCGTACAAATGCGCAACATTCCAAGTTATCACCGGAATTGGGATTGGTGCCGCCTGCCAGGTACCTATCATTGTGAACATGAGTTTGGTTGAAATTGAAGATCTTCCAACTATTATCACCGCAACATTCTTTCTACAGTCTCTTGGAGGTTTCTTTCTCAACCAAGCATCCCAGGCTGCATTCATTGGAAAAATACGAAAACTCACAGCTACGAGCACTGATCCCAAGGTAGTGACAGTCATTCAGCTTTCTGCCACTTCTTTACGTGATGAATTTACAGGTGAAAGTTTGAAACTGGTGCTGAACGCGTATCATGGGGGAATCGAGATAGTTTCTATAATCGGGATAGTTGCTGCTAGCATGGCCCTGATCCTTTCAATTTCTCCCCAGTGGAAAAAGCTGAGTGAAGCCAACTGAACATGCCTTTTTCATATGTTGAAAACGAGTCATGACCTCGCTACGTTTTATGAAACGGACTTACGAAATATTCAGTAATATGATGATCAATTTCTCCAAAAGTATCTAACCTCGACACTATTGTGCATTAATATAATATTCATTCCCATTTTATGTTTCCCAAAGTAGATCTTCCCGGGCCCGCGCCTGATTAAATTTATTGTCTTCGCCTGCATAATACTTCAGACTCTGGATTGATAAGAAGAGCAGAAATAAGAGTAAAATTTTTCGGTCGTCCTTGTCCGTCTGGGAAAGCCCAATCGTAATTCATTATCAAATGAGCAAGGAGAATTTTGGTCTCGTTAATAGCAAAGAATCTACCAGGACAAGCATGTGTTCCCAGGCCGAACGATAGACTCTCAAGTCCAATGGAAGTGGCCTAGAATGTGTTAGAGATTTTATTATTATGAGGTGCCAAACTGTCTATACGTACTTGGTACTTGTGGTCATTTCCTTCAGCAGCCCGTAGCCTTTCAAATCTGCAGGATTGAAAGTGTAAGCATTAACTACTTAATGTGAGGCTATTCGGAAGCATGCCACGTACCTGAATCCATCAAATTTCTCAGGATTCTCCCATAGCTGAGTATCATAATTTATCTGGAAAGAATTGAACCCAAGTATAGACCCTGCTGGTAGAACCGTACCATCAGATAACTTTGTAGTGGCTAACACTTTGCGTTCCATGCCAACTAAATGGGTAAATAGCTGTTAACTTCCACCTCCTGTAGATTAAAGAGGGCCAGAAAGAGGTATTACCGAATGACGATGGGTTTAACCGTTGAGTCTCTCTAAGGAAGGAGTCCAGCTTGCGGAGTTTCTGCATGGCAGCCTTAGAAGTGAGACTTCCATCTTCTGCTAAAACAGTCTCAATCTCTTCCCTCAAAGGAGCCACGTGTTCTGGTGCCGCAGCTAGATGGAATAATGCATGACAGGCGTTCATGGAGGTTGTATGCATTGATGTAAAAGCGGCCATCAGTTGGTTTGTGGCCTGAAAATCCAAGGACATCCCTTTTTGCGGGTTGATATTAATGAAGGATTGGATCATATCCCTTGGAGGCTTATATGCAGGGTCCTTGAGCTTTTCAATGCGTTCTTCAAGAATCGGTTTAAGCAGCCTGTTTCGTTATTTATGCGGTTAGTTATCTTACCGTACCAGTAGGTATGCCGTCACCAACCTTTTAACGGTAGCATAATGCCGTCGCACAGCCCATAGCTGCGGAAGAAACATATTCAAAAGCGGGTGAATTATGCTTGGGGTCATATGCAGAATCATACCAGCTTTGAATGCATCTTCAGTATATTTCAATATACATCCCAGCTTGATACCTATTGTCAGCGCCTTTCAAAGCATGAATACAAGGGAGCCTTACCCATTCTTTGTTATGACAAAGTGGCAGACCAACCAACACACGGCTCGTCATAGAAGACACCATGTCAAGCAGCGTAGGCAATAGTTTCACCGGTGCATAGTCTGGGTTTCAGTGTTATAAAAGCATTCCTTGGGAGTATACAGTAACGGTACCTAACTTACCATTCCCACAAAATCCAAGCTTGGTTTTAACGACTGAGATAGCTTCTTCCTGGAGCAGCTCATGAGCATGCACTATGTTTTGAGTCAGGTCACGCCGCAGAGCAGTCACCAAGCTGTGATCGTGAGTTGCGATCATAGTATACTCCCCAGCCATTGCGTCTTTAACAAGAGCCTTGAAGCTCATCTGGCTCTCGGGAAACCGCTTAATCTCATCCAAGTATTTACGAGGCAGAATTATCATCTGCTTTGCCGGGACTTGGATTTCATAAGGCTTGTCTGGATACTGTGAACTTTCATGTCAGAACTATCTGATTTTTACTTAGAATAATAGCATTTGTTCAAAGGGCATGATGTGGTCAATACCAGCTTGGATCCTTCGATAATACCTGGCTCCATGTCATTTGATTTTAGCTTGATAACTGGGAAGCCAGTCGCTGGCACCTTTCGGGTACCAGTAGTAGCTTTCAAACATATCCAAAGGACTGCGAAGAGAAGTAGAACAGCCAGCCAGAGATGGATGGTTGGATATGCTTCTAACAACCCAGCCATGACTATTGATTCGAAGTTATTCGACTGATTCTCTCAGCTGTCTTGTTGCTGTGCCCTGTCCGGCAGGCTTGGAGCCTTATATAGCAAACTGCGAAGGGCCAGTTCTGTGGGTACATCATCGGCTGTGAAAGGCCAGGCCGAATGGCACAGTCCTGACTGGTCGGCTGCTAGGGGATCCCTTGCATTTTGGCCCCTTTCTTTCTCCGTATTATAGAACCGACGTACGCTGTTCCTCGCGCACAAAATCTGTCCTTTCATTCGTTGGCGCCTCCCTTGCTTTGCAGAACAGGTATAACAGCCCGCCCAAGCGGCTTTTGCAGCAGATCAAGCGGCAACATCTTCCGCCCATCCATCTGTATGTTTCACCACAGCCCCCTCCTCTCAGCCAAAGCGTCTGGGTTTCAGCCTTGCATGTCGCTCTCCCTCATCCCAGTCAAGCAGCAGAGACATGGACTTTCGGCTGCAAATCAACGTTGACATCAAGAACTTTGCTTTTCTCCACATTTAAAATCCTTCAAATAAACTTTAAGCAAACCTTAAAACTTTGTTACATAAATGGAACATTCACTATCACATGATTGAAAATTTATCACGTGATTATAAATCCGAACCTTCCTAAGAGGGAAAGAGAGAAAATGACAACCCGCGGCTTCTTCGATCCTCAAAATATCAATTATCAATTATCAAAAGGACGCTGTCAACTTCTTCTCGTCTCCTGTCTTTGGTTCCATGGCAGATGCGCAGTTCTCCGGCAAATGAGAGTATAAGGTGTGCAAGAAGGCAGCCATATATACGGGGTACGGCTGGTGACATTCAAATCTGTCCTGATTCCTGCGTTTTCTGCCATCAATCTGATATATCGTTGGTGGACAGATGGACCTCACATCGGCTTCCAAACCTATGACTTTTCCTTAACTCTTGGATATTAAAGAAATCATCTTGACGCTGTTTATCGGACTCGATATGTCAAACTCGATTTTTGAACATCATCTATTTGATGTTCAACTCTAGTGATCTGGGATGCCTTATCACTGAACCTACAGCTTCTTCGTCAAGTAATGAACGCCGCTATCTTGATACCAAATCTTATTAACAAAAAATATCAATACCCCAATCTAATCCTTGATAATTTGATTTTCCAAGGGATAATTTTTCTAAGGGGAATATATTGAAAGTTCTATCACTTTACTCTATGAGTGGCACTGCTTCACGGAACGTTGATAGCTCCTGGTCCAGTGCAATTCGCCAAATTAGATTTGAACATTCAGGTTCATAAATTTACGTGAATGGTAGAAACATATTCACCACCCATTGACAATATTAAAAAAACACACAACCATTTCCACCGCAACCTTTTCTTCCCAAATCCCCCATTGCTGCCATAATCAGGACAGCTGTCACATAATTTTGCTTCATCCAAACCTTTGCACAACTCTTTTAGACCTACACGAGATGCCTGTTGTCAAGGTTATTAAGTCCAGGAGGAAGAGGAAATATTGGGCCTCGCTGGACTGCTCCAATAAACGGACTACGCTGAGAACGGTCATGCATGAGGTATCGTGAAAATAATCAGGTTTCTGAAAACACACTGACGTTCTAACCCATCCTTGTAGTTACCGTATGTACAACAAAAGAGCATTTCACTATTACAATTGCAATACCGAGGATGATGACCCTTCAGCTATCGTCTAGATCGTCAGGCCGTATTTCCGGAACTGCAAGGTCTTCCTGCTCAGAGGGTCTTTCCGTCTTCCCAACTACGAGTGGCTGATATCAAACCCCGGTCGCGAATACCGTGTGAAAGGCGAGGACTGCATTGCCCTCTGTGGAAGCAAGACTGCGGCGGTCGTCATAGAAGAAGATTAACCAGCAAGAACACGTCTTCCCAACACGCCGAGAGGTCAAGACCAGTGCCTCGTTTCATAGCTGAAATCTCTGCACCGGGCGAGCCAGCCCTTTATAGCTGGATGCCTCTTGGCTAATGTTTCCATGTACGAACAAAGAACAGAATATAAGTTATGCTGTGGGGGTAACTAACTACAACATGGCGCTGAAGAAAGAAAAGGGCCCGCTGTGCCGTGCTAGCAGCTGTGACTAGGGCATTAGACTGGCCGAACACAATAATGAAAGTCGATAGAAGACTCTTCTTGGATGTTCCTTAGCGGCCCTGGAGGACTCTTGCTGTATCTACTACTGTCGATGGGCCGAAACATGCTGCATGCACGATGATGCAATGTTATTTTCCAGCTTCCAGTAACCGTTCTAGTTAATTCTCACACCCCAGAATATCACTATTTGTCCGTCTGCAATCGCCGTATCGTCCTCTAGGCTGCGGTACGTAAAGGGGAGGGTTATATATGGCCCAGGCCTGCCTTAACAGCTAAAAGTAAGCCTTTTTTTAACTAACTAGTTAGTTAAGCGTTATGGCCCACTGCAACTAGTTAGCTACAAGCCTCTTTATTCCCCAGATTAACCAGATAATAATTCTGATAAATTAATATTGATTGCCTTCCCTAGAAAAGGCTCCGGGCTCTCGAGGTGTAGCGAGGAAGAAGAGAGACCCAAGAAGTGCGCCAACCGCCCCGCCGCCGCCGCCGCCGCTGCCCTTTGTACCCGTGCCTGCACTAGTTAGTTAGCTGGTTAGAACAACGAACTAGCTAGCCAGCAACCAGCGACTTGACCAAGTATTTCAACTATTTAAGAACCATCCAGGGGCGCCCGCCTGACACGTATATCGAAATATCCTAAGACGAGAAGAGAACGAAAGCGACGCCCTGTTGTTTGTCGGACTGTCCCGTTTGCGCCTGTCTCGATCAAAACATCATGGACACTCTAGAACTTCAAGGCGAAGGTATGGCCGCAGCCCCTAACTATCTCCCGCGCATTCGCTAATCGACGATATCGCAAATATCAGAGAAGTTAATCGAAGTCAGCCACCTGCTCAAGACTCTTCGGTCAGACTTGGACCAGAAGTCCCTTCAGACGTCCCGTATGCGCCGCCACAAAACGCCCTCTTCATGCACTGACCGTCATAATAACGTGCCGTTTTAAATAACAGAGCTGATCGAGACCCTACAAAAACTTCGAGTCCACGGTCGAAAGCTGGAAAATGCAGACCCCATATACGAAAAGGAGGTATGGAAGCGGACAGTTTTGTATGCGCAACGTCACGGTTTTAACAGACTGTGTTTGTAGGGTATAGCGACCCTGTCTACGTACGGGTTCGACGAACCAGATGCGATCATATACCGGGAAGCCTTACGATGTCTAGCGAATGCGTTACTGCTCGAGAAGGCCACACGCCAACGGTTTGTCGACCTAGGAAATGGAAGGAAAGCGGCAGAGAAGCTCAAGGTACGTGCTTTGGATTCCGGCACAAGCGGTATTACGTCGTTTAACTGGGAGGGTACAAACAGGAAGAGAACTCGGACGATGAATTTTTATGCTCACGACTACTATTCCTAACGACTTACGATTCAGATCTGGATTTTGACAAGTTGTTCAGCGAGTGTTCTCTGGGAGAGAGCATCAATAACGTATGACACCGACATTGATCTGTTACTTCCCTGAAAGACTAACACCAGTACAGCATATATATCGACATTCCAAGCAGTTCTCCAAGGGAAAAAAGAAGAAGCTTACTCCTATCGATGAACTTGCTCTCTCAGAGACCCTCAAGTTGATGTTTAATATTACAAACTACTACCCTCATCAAGTTGCAGCATTCTCGCCGTCAATACCCCACATACTCAAAATCTTAAGTCGCATTGAGATACCAACTCCACCGCTGCAGGCTCCAGTCAACTATCTGGTCAACTCATTGCTGAATTTAGATCTCGCGGCGGAGAAAAGCAAGCCATTCAGCACTAATCCACTCTTCCCAAAATTTGACCAGAACTGCAATGTGGATAAACTGATTAATATCCTTGACCAGGCGGTAGCCATGCATAAGCCATCCGATCTAGAGACTCTCGCTGTTCCACTACTCACTCTCCTGAGGAAGATATACTCATTCGCCCCGGAAGGCCCGAGAAAATACATGGAATGGCTTCTGCTTCCTGAAGATAACGACCGTGATCTACCTATAGGGCAATCCAATACACTCTCATCCCGCTTACTACGGTTATCAACATCTCCCGTAGCGCCTAGCCTGCGAGACGGCATTTCGGCACTCATGTTCGAGTTATCCGGAAGCAATGCCAGTGAATTTGTGAGGAATGTAGGGTACGGTTTTGCTGCCGGCTTCCTCATGTCCCATGATATGGCTATCCCTGAAAGTGCAAAGGAAGCCTACAGCTCAAAGGGTAACAAGGAATTTAATTCGGCCATTAATCCGATTACTGGTCAACGTTTCGATGCTGAGCCTGTAGACAATGGGCCCGAGATGACTGAGGAAGAGAAGGAGCGAGAAGCTGAGAGACTCTTTGTGCTTTTTGAGAGGTACTGTCTCCTAGATTCCAACACTCTTTGACTATAGCACCGTTTAATTATGGAACGTTTGGGATTACCATTGCTGACTATCTTACCCTATTACAGGCTACGTGCTACAGGAGCTGTTAATGTTGAAAATCCTGTTCGAACGGCCGTGGAGCAAGGTCGAATCGAAGAACTCGATTAGTTCTTTTTGCATAAATGTACTGTTTTATATACCTCCAATCCATCTCGGTGGTTTAGCATAAGTTGTCTGTTTGCAACATCTAATATGAATACAAAATATCGGTACAATCCCCCGAAAAGGTAAATGGAACTAAAAGATATTCCCAACCTCCCCCTACCTCCTTTATATACTCTCTTGTCGTGCCCTTTGTCTTCTTTGCAACAAAGAAATGCCAGCGAAACTAAATAAAATGACGTAATCATACATTACCGCTAGTGAGGCTTGGCATATATTACATAATAATCTTATCGGGACGTCGGTGTCCTAATAATCCGATATCGATTATTTTTGGCGCGTTGAGTCGTAGTGGTTAGAACAAGCTGATACACATTCAAGATCCAAACCTCACAGGCATATTACGAGGCTAAGGCTTATACGATCCTCATATCCAAGCCATTCCGCTTCATTTATACACCTATCTTTCTTATCCTTCGCGGCCTGAGCCTTATCTTAGTCGTGCAGCTCAAGTTTCACCCCTCCTTCACCCCACCTCTATTCATACAAATTTAATACAGGCGCATCTCTTTCAAAATGGCTTCAGGCTTGGGTTCGTTTGACCCGGAGACGGCTCAGAATTTGGAAGACGTAAGCAGTTTCACTTCCGCTTCTAGTATTGCAGCGCAAAGAAATTAACAAAAACTCTCCAGATGGAAAAGCAATTTGCAGTTAAAGGTTTGGCTTCCACGCTTCTCACACCCCGCGAGGTAAACACCTTACTTACCTCCTACGTTGCCTACAGCCGTGCAGCAAATGTCAACATATTGGGCCATTCTCGAGCGAGCACCGGGGTCAAAGCTTCGACTCACAAAGTTAGATGATGAGATATATGAAAGCTTCAAGACCGAGTTTCCTGACTTCGACCCTGCCGCGACAATTAATGAGGATGAAATGAAGAGCAAGGCTGGCAAGGAAAAATGGCGAAACTGGATGAAGCAGTATGAAGAGAGAGTTGCTGATTACAACTTTGGTACTCTCTTGAGAGCAAACCCGAAATTTGAGTACGGAGAGAAAGAGACTATTTTCGGTAAGCAATGCAAAGAACCTGAAGCGTTGTGTGTTATGAGGGAAAACTATACAGGAATAACGCAGGAAACGTTCAATGCTAACATACGGTTGTGCATATAGTTGTCCGTATGCAGTTTTATGCCATTGAGATCGCAAGGTTTGTCATTTCCCAAGAACATGAAGTGATAGCAGAATCCAACTTAATTTTGTGAAAAATAGAAACCGTGCTGGTCTAAACGACTGGGTATATGAACAGGCACAGAAAGAGAGGTCCCGTTCATAAAGTGTCTCTCTAGGTCCATTACACCGTTTTCCCAGATCATAAAAAAAAAACCCCTTGGCCGCTGCCACTGGGATTTTACGATAATTGGCCTCCGCCAATGGGGTTAATACCCAGCCGCCATGCCCTTTCACCCGCTTCAAGGCTGTAAGACGTCTCCAGTGACATGGAGGCTCGAGTTACAATGCAAAGGAGCCGAGGTATGCTCTCCATCATGTAGAGAGAGTATTTGATTACTTGGGCTGCATTACTGCATATAGTTTGTGCAACTTGAAGGTAGGGTTGCTATTTTGTGTGAAATAAAAGCTTATGAAAAAATGAATAAAATTGACAATATTACAGTCAAGAATAATTCTGACTTTAGGCCCATGGGAATAAACTGTATATATATACAACCAAGAAGTGAAATCAGACGCTATACACAAAATTTAGCAGTTCGGTATAATGTGATTTAACTTGCTATGGGTAAAACAGAATTTGGAGAACACAACGACATGATATCATTCCATGAGGGAGTTGGCTCATGAGTAGCTTATGTAGCAAGTTCTGCAGGTTGACCCTGAGAAGCAGTAGCAAGCTCTGCAGGTTGGCTTTGAGGGGCGGGAGCAGACGTTCCATTTTCTCCATTGGAATCTCCATTCCTCTGGAAAGAAGGAGGAATAACGTATTTAGAGCTCTTCCAGGGTTTGACATGCAAATGATACATCAAATCGATTTCCTCGAGAGTCCGTCCTGCACCTTCAATGACACCAAAGTAGACGAGAGCGGCAGCAATTATCAGGCAGCCAGCGAACACAAAGCCGTACAAGAAATCGATGTCGCCGACAATAAAGGGCGTGAAGAACGCCAGAAGGAAGTTCCATAGCCAGTTCGATGCGGTTGCCATTGCCATTGCGGTAGCACGGTATCGAGATGGGTATAATTCGGCGATGATAGCCCATACCATTGGTCCCCATGTGCATGCAAACCCAACAATGAATAGACATGAGAAGGCAACCATCACTTTACCAGCTCCGGGAGTTAATGCTGGCTCATCACGATTAAGTACGAAGTGGCCGACAGAGGCATATATGATGAAGCAGACGAACATCCAGAGAGCTCCACCAATGAGAGACTTACGTCTTCCAAAATGCTCGATGTTGTAGAGTCCTATAAAGGTAGCGACGAAATTTACAGCTCCTAGAATCATCTGGGTGACGTAGCTGTTGCTCAGACCAGCACCTCGGAAGACAAAAGTCCCATAATAGAAGAAGTAGTTTGCACCCGTCAGCTGCTGGAAAGCTTGTAGTGTTATTCCAAGAAGCAATCTGGAGCGCATAGTTGGCGCAAAAAATATCTGATACCATGGCTGGTCCTTGGTAAGTTGGTCTTCTTCATGCTGACGCTTGATTTCGTTGAACTCTTCATGTAGTTTTTCGTGGTTCTCTGGAACTCCGTTGAGCTTCATCATTGTTCGCTTGGCCTTTTCAATTCGGTTGTGTCGATAGTCATATCGGGGTGTCTCAGGGAAGAAGATTATGCCGAACCCTAGGATAGCTGCCCAGATGAAGGTGACTCCCATCGGGATTCGCCAGGAGCTAGAATCCGGACGAGCTTCTGTTCCGTAGTTAATGCAATTGGCAATGAAAATGCCGAGGGTGATGAATAGTTGGTAGGTACTGGTAGTTAATGGACATGTTAGCTTGTGATAATTTGCAGAGACATATAGGGAAACAGCATACCTGACTAGAGCACCGCGTATATGCCTAGGAGCACTCTCTCCCTGATATAAAGGGACAAGTAGAGAGAGAGACCCGACTCCTAGGCCAGTAACCCACCGTCCAATAGCTACTTGGTACCATCTTGGTTCTTCTGAAGTAATTTGGACAATGATACCAGCTGAAAGGATTCCGCACCAGAAAGATATTGACCACTTCCGTCCAACCCTGTCGGCCAATGGACCGGCTATCAGGGCACCTATCAACGTTCCAACCGAGAGCTGTCATCATGAAACTGCTGATTAGCCTCCGAAAGAACAAGAAGCAAGAGAGATCAATCCTTGCTCCGATGGATGCATACATGAGAATGGGGGTATTCTTACCAACGCCACAATCAATCCTGCACGAACATTGGAGAACATGTAGTCCTTGCAATCAGGTTCGCCAAATCGTCTCTTAAAATCTTCCATCTCCAGAATACCTGAGATTTGTCCAGTGTCATAACCGAAGAGGAACCCTCCCATTGACACAAAAACCCCCATCACCGCGGACCGCCATGTTAATCGAGGAATCGGCGTATTCACCGTACCAGCAGGGTAGCTCGCCATCTCTACCTCAGTTGCTGCAGCAGCAGGAGGAGCACCTGCAGCCTCCTTTGAAGGGGGGGCCTTGCTCTTGAACATCTTGTCCATATGTTTCGGTCCTCTCAAAAGCACCAGTGAGCAATGGAGAAGGAAGAGTGAAAAATTCCGATCTTGTGGGAAAAAAAACCCGGGCGTAAAACAGGTTATAAACTTCAGGCAATGGAATTATTTTGGAGCCCAAGCCCCCATATAATAATAAAAAGGCAACATGGAACCATGGTTTGGCCAGAGAGTCCCCAGGGCGGGAACCCAATGGCGCAGCAGGGGAAGATTCCACAGCCCTCCGCTGAATGCTAGGCAGGCAGAGAGGATTGAGTGGCAGCCGAGTGCTAATCATTGACCTTTTCATCCGAATTTGCTGGGATGATCGGTTCAGCCCAAAGATCCACAGGCTATCGATTCACATGAGCACCATCGTTGGCCATCCCCGTCTCGTCTGGGGGCTTCAATGACAGGTAACAACGGGCAACTGGTGGCGTGCACTGTGCTAAAGAGTAGTGATATGAAGTCAATCTTGTACTCCGCACGTAACTCTCAGCATCAGACATGATTTGACAGGCTTTGGCATTTCCTGGGGACAAGTGTTTCGCCTCTGACGGGTGTTTCGGGAGAGCCAGAGAAGCGCAGGTGTGACGTCATAGGTAGCCCTGTTTAGTTATATACCGGCAGACCCGGAGGGACGGGTCCGTCGTAGTTCGGAGATGGGGATATGTGTGATCGTGTCATCAAGTGTCGGGTAGCCGTGCTGTCGTGACGCTGCTGGACGGGCTTGGTTTTCGTAGTGACGGTGACGACCTTGGGGTCTCCAATTTCACCAGGATAGCTAACTAACACTTGGATCCATTAGTTAACTAGTTATTACGGGAAGATAATGAGTAACATACCTCTATCTCTCAACGGCTATATCAATCAATTGCTATGTTCGCAGCTGCGACATATACCACCAGAGATATCAAGCTGGCTTCCTGTCCGGAGTATTACCAAGGACTGAAGAGACACCTGGACAGCCGGTCATGGACATCCAACTGGTGAGCTTGACAACACTCAGAATCGCGAGGACACTGTGGAGTGATAAATATACCCTCTCCTATAATATCACAGTTATCATACCAGTGTACCGCTGGCACCTTGCCATTTTCTGTGGCAGGCTTCCCAGCGATCTCACACTTGGACGTGAAAATTTTCATC